GCTTACCGCAACCTCCGCCTCCTGGGCTCAAACAATTCTCCTGCCTCAGCCTCCCGAGTAGCTGGGACTATAGGCACGCACCATCATGCCCAGCTAATTTTTGTATTTTTAGTAGAGACGAGGTTTCACCTCGTTGACCAGGATGGTCTCGATCTCTTGACCTCGTGATCCACCCACCTCGGCCTCCCAAAGTGCTGGGATTATAGGCGTGAGCCACCGCACCCGGCCAAGAATTTTTTTTTTTTTTTAATGCCAAAGATAGAGAAAAGTCCAAGGATAGAGAAAAGCAGTTTTCACATCTCCTCTTATTTGTATGCTCCGTTATTCTGTTTTAGAATAAAAGTACTTACAAGGCAAAGACCTTGTTTGTTTGATTGCAAGAACAGGAGAGCCTTGAACACGCCAGGCACTTTACATACAATATCAGCTTTTAATTCTTAAAACAATCGTGTTTAGTGTAAGTGTTTAGTTTAAATTATCCTTATTTCACAAACAAGGAAACTCAGGCCAGAAAGTTAGCATAATTCCTTGATCATACGCTTACAGTTAAGGGCTGATTTTCAAACCAGTTCTCTTTTAATCTAAAGCCTGTATTCTCCTCATTCTACCACACTGCCTCCCAGCACATAGGTAACACAGAAAAAATACTAGATACCTTTTTTATGGAGCACAAGTCCCAGAATAATATGCAAAGAAATCCTTTCTAAGAATGTTTTATTGATGATGATGATGATGAGAAAGTCCTTCATCCCTCTCCGTTTCTTCCCTTTCAGGCCTTTCTGCAGAGGTCTAACCTCCTTGCAGAACTCCATGCTTTCTGCCAGGCTCACAGCTATGATGTCCTGGTCGCCATGACTATCTTTTTTGACACTCACAATGAGCCAGTGCGGCAGTTGGCTATTTTCTGTCCCCATGTGGCACTCCGAACAACGGTGAGTCTCTCTCCTTTCTCCAACCTAAGAGCCTTACAGAGTCTGCCTGTATGCACCTCTGTGCACCACAGCTCTGTGCTTGAGGACCTTTCTTTGGTTCTTATATTAATATACTTACACGAGGTACCTTGACCTGTTTCTGGACCTGCTTCCTCCCCTTTCTGCTTTTTCCCCATTTTCTCTCTATGTGACTATTCTTTTTAAAAAATTCTTCTCCTTTTTTTGAATAAATATCCTTAATCATAGCATTGTTGAGAAAGGGGGAATTCCAAAGAGAACTAGAGATTCAGTTACTACTTTGAAAGAACTTGAAATAAATCTGGTTAGAGGGCTGGGTGCTGTGGCTCACACCTATAATCTTAACACTTTGGGAGGCCAAGGCGGACCGATCACGAGGTCAAGAGGTAGAGACCATTCTGGCCAACATGGTGAAACCCTGTCTCTACTAAAAATACAAAAATTAGCTGGGTGTGGTGGTGTGTGCCTATAGTCCCAGCTACTCAGGAGGCTGAGGCAAGAAAATCGCTCAAACCCAGAAGGCAGAGATTGCAATGAGCCGAGACCATGACACTGCATTCCAGCCTGGTGACAGAGCAAGACTCCATCGAAAAAAAAATCTGGGGCCGGGCACAGTGGCGCACCCCTGTAATCCCAGCACTTTGGGAGGCCTAGATGGGTGGATCACAAGGTCAGGAGTTCGAGACCAGCCTGGCCAACATGGTAAAACCCCGTCTCTACTAAAAAAATAGCAAAATTCGGGGGGATGGAGGCAGCAAACCACATTGCCATGTGTGTACCTATGCAACAATCCTGCATGATCTGCACATGTACCCCAGAACCTAAAGTACAATAAAAAAAATATATACAAAAATTAGCTGGGTGTGGTGGCAGGCACTTGTAATCCCAGCTACTCAGGAAGCTGAGGCAGGAGAATCACTTGAAACCGGAAAGCAGAGGTTGCAGTGAGCTGAGATCACGCCACTGCACTCCAGCCTGGGCGAAAGAGCAAAACTCCATCTCAAAAAAAAAAAAAAAAAATCTGGTTGGAAAGAAATACTATAAATCTAGAGTTAAAATTCCCTTCTTGAGCTAGGGACGGTGGCATGTGCCTGTAGTCCCAGCAACTCAGGAGGCTGATGCAGGATTGCTTGAGCTGGGAAATTTCAGTCCAGCCTGGTAAAGAGAGCAAGACGGCATCTCTATGGGGGTGGCGGGGGGAGAAAAAACAGCTCTGTTTTTGGTTTAATCATTAATTCTTCACCCCTGGAATTACTCTGTTGCCTTAAAAATTGGAAATACGAGAGACCTTTTCTGCTGCTTGGTATACAGGGATTAATTATTCTGTATAGTGCAAACTCTGCAAAGAGTGATCTACATCCAGATTTGTTTTCTTTCCCAGTCTTCCATTTCACCATCTTTCCTACTTCCTCCCCTTTCTGTTCCTCTGCTGGTTGTTGAATAGCCTAGGGAAGAATTTAAAAGTGGGCTTAAGGCCAGGGACAGTGGCTCACAGCTCTAATCCCAGCACGCTGGGAGGCCAAGGCAGACACATCATGAGGTCAAGAGATCAAGACCATTCTGGCCAACATAGTGAAACCCTGTCTCTACTAAAAATGCAAATATTAGTTGGACATAATGGTGTGTGCCTATAGTCCCAGCTACTCAGGAGGCTGAGGCAGGAGAATTGCCTGAACCTGGGAGGCAGAGGTTGCAGTGAGCCCAGATCATGCCACTGTACCACAGCCTGGGCAACAGAGTGAGACTTCATCTCAAAAAAAAAAGTGGGGTTAAGGCAGTCTAGGGACTCTTAGGGTTGCCTAGGCTCTGTGAGGACTGCTGAAGACAGAATACAGCAGATAATCCTTTGTCCTCATAGAAGGTATGTCTGCCCTTTCCCACCTCCCTTTGCCTTTGTCTTCTCCCTCAGGAAGCAAATATGATTTCATTCAGTGTAAGGTAGTTTGTCATTATGAAAAGAATTGCAGTTTTTTTGTTTGCTTGTTGTTTTTTCAGAGTCTCACTCTGTCGCCCAGGCTGTAGTACAGTGATGTGACCTGGGCTCACTGCAACCGCCACCTCCTGGGTTCAAGTAATTCTCCCACCTCAGCCTGTAGCTGGGACTACAGATGCCCACCACTATGCCCGGCTAATTTTTATATTTTTAGTAGAGATGGGGTTTCATCATGTTGGCCAGGCTAGTCTCGAACTTCTGACCTCAAGTGATCTGCCTACCTCGGCCTCCCAAAGTGCTGGGATTATAGGTGTGAGCCACTACATGTGGCCAAGAACTGCAGTTTTTAAAGTCAGGTAGATGTGCTTTTCTGTTCTAGGTTTGCCACTTAACTCACTCTTTGAGCTAAGGCACGTCAGTTGACTTCTGCATCTGGACATGGCATAATAGTACCCACTGATAAGTCTGTTATGATCATTAACATATCATATGTAAAACACACTTCTGGAGCAGAGTAAGCACTTTGTAAATAGTGGCTCTTACTAATCCTGTCCTGAAGAAAAGGGTACTTTGGCCATTAGAAGTACCTCTTCCACCTTCCTGAATCTTCTCCCTGCCGTTTTGAAGCTGTGGGGATTTCTGTTTTGGCTTCTTTATTTTTTTTTTAAGATGAAGTCTCGCTCTTGTCACCCAGGCTGGAGTGCAATGGCACGATCTCAGCTCACTGCAACCTCCACTTCCTCGGTCCAAGCAATTCTCCTGCCTCAGCCTCCCGAGTAGCTGGGATTACAGGCACCTGCCACCACACCCAGCTAATTTTTATATTTTTAGTAGAGATGAGGTTGCACCGTGTTGGCCAGGCTGGTCTCGAATTCCTGACTTCAGATGATCTACCCAACTCAGCCTCCCAAAGTGCTGGGGTTACAGGTGTGAGCCACTGTGCCCGGCCAGCTGTGAGGATTTCTAATGACTCCACCATTGTCCAGGCTGCCCCTATGCTTGGAAACAGGAGTCCTTTCTCTCTCTCTCTCTCTCTCTCTCTCTCTCTCTTTTTTTCAAGACAGGGTCTCTCGCTCTGTTGCCCAGACTGGAGTGGCACAATGAATGGCACAATCTCAGGTCACTACAACCTCTGCCTCCCAGGTTCAAGCAGTTCTCCCACCTCAGCCTCCTAAGTATAAGCATACACCACCATGGCCAGCTAATTTTTTTTTGTATTTTTTGTAGAGAGGGTCTTGCTGTATTGCCTGGGCTGGTCTCAAACTCCTGGACTCAAGTGACCCACCAGCCTCAGCTTCCCAAAGTTCTGGAATTGCAGGTTTGAGCCGCTGTGCCTGGCCAGGAGTCCTTTTCTCACAGCCTCCTCTACCATCTGCTCTTTCTCCTTTGTTAGGGGTGGTATAATATTGCTTTAGAACACTGGCTTTGGTGACAGCTCTGGGCTCAGTGTCAGTTTTGTGTCATGCAAATTATGACCTTAGGCCAGTTACCTAATCATCCAAGCCTCAGTTTCCATACATGTAAGTGAGGGTAATAGTGATACCAATCTTATTTTGTTCAATTCATTCTTTCTTCCTCCATCCCTCTGACCTCTAGATAAATTCTAGTCCCATCCTAGTTCAAGTTCTTGAGCACAGTTATACTCTTGGAAACAACACTAGATTAGAAGCTAAGGTTCCTGGGTTCTGGTTTAACTATGCCATCATCTACACCTATAATCCTAGGACTTTGGGAGACCAAGGCCTGTGGATCACCTGAGGTCAGGAATTCGAGACCTGCCTGGCCAACGTGGTGAAACTCCATCTCTACTAAAAATACAAAAATTAGCCAGATGCGGTGACACTTGTCTGTAGTCCCAGCTACATGGGAGGCTGAGGTAAGAGAATCACTTGATCCCCGGAGACATCAAGTGAGCCAAGATCGTGCCGCTGCACTCCAGCCTGGATGACAGAGCGAGACTCCATATCAAAAAATATATATATATACTGTGAATATTAGTGTTCCGTTGGTTGCAAACAATAAAACCAAACTCTGGATAACTTACTTTTCTTTTTTTGTCTTGCTTTATCACCCAGGCTGGAGTGCAGTGGCAAGATCTTGGCTCACTGCATCCTCCACCTCCTGGGTTCAAGTGATTCTCCTGTCTCAGCCTCCCGAGTAGCTGGGATTACAGGCATGCATCACAATCCGGCTATGGTTGATTTTTGTATTTTTGGTAGAGACATTGTTTCACCGTGTTGACTAGGCTGGTCTCGAACTCCTGACCTCAGTGATCTGCCCACCTCAGCCTCCCAAAGTGCTGGGATTACAGGCGTGAGCCACTGCACCTGGCCTCGAGGATAACTTACTTCTTGAAAGCTTTCTCTTCTGTAGAGCAAGCCTCTCACTTAGAAGCCTCAGTGCTTTGCTACAGCAGGTTATATAACATTTCCCTGTTATTGTCTCCTCTTTAGATCTGTGAAGTCCTGGAACACTCCCAGTCTCCGCCCCTGAAGCTCACCCCTACCTCAAGCATCCACCCTAACCTCCATGCCTATCTTCAAGGCAACACCCAGGTCTCTCGAAAGAAACTTCTGCCCCTGCTCCAGGAAGCCCTGTCAGCATATTTTGACTCCATGAAGATCCCTTCAGGACAGCCTGAGACAGTGGATGTGTCCAGGGAGCAGGTGGACAAGGAATTGGACAGAGCAAGTCACTCCCTGATTTCTGGACTGAGTCAAGATGAGGAGGACCCTCCGCTGCCCCCCACGCCCATGAACAGCTTGGTAGATGAGTGCCCTCTGGATCAGGGGCTGCCTAAACTCTCCGCCGAGGCGGTCTTCGAGAAGTGCAGTCAGATCTCACTGTCACAGTCGACCACTGCCTCCCTGTCCAAGAAGTGACTGTTGGGAGGGGAGGAGGTAGTGGGTGAGGCACCTGACTCACTTCACATGCATGTTTTGAGATGTCTGGAGATTCAGCAATTCGGTCTTCATTGCTCCAGGATCTGGTGTACTGTTCTCATAAAACTGAGAGGAGAAAAAAGTGAAAGAAAGCAGCTGCTTTAAGAATGGCTTTCCACCTTTTCCCCCTAATCTCTACCAATCAGATACATTTTATTATTTAAGTCTACACCTCCCTGTATTTCATTTGCCAGGGGCACAGTGTGACACGTCTACAGTCCCAGCACAGTGGGACAAAAAGAATGTAGACCCCAAAGTGCCCTCAGCATGGATCTTGAACAGAACCAATATCTGTCATGGAACTAAACAGTCATTGATGGTCTCCATGTTTTCATTTATTCTCATTCATTCAAGTATTTATGGAATACCTGCCTCAAGCTAGAGAGAAAAGAGAGTGCGCTGTGGAAACTTATTCCAGTTTTCATTCCCCAGCGGATTTCCAGCTCTGTGACTCTCCATTCTGCCACCATTTAGGTGATGGTGTTTGATTCAGAGATGGCTGAATTTCTATTCTGAGCTCACTGTGACTGTTTCAGATCTAGTTTGGGAGCAGATTAGAGGCCACTGTCTTCTGTCCTGATCAGGTGGCCTGGCTGTTTCTTGGATCCCCCTGTCCCAGAGCCACCTAGAACCCTGATGGCTCCTGATTCTCGAGAATTAAGAAAGCACCCAGAAAGGCCTTAATGACCTCATAGGCACTCTTCCAAAATGACCGCAGAACTGGAATGAGAGGCCCGGGTCTGTCCCCTGGCTTAGCAGGCCTATCAATTTCTTGTCCATCTCTTCTTCTCCTTGCTCGTTTTAAAAGGAAGCATGGAGTTCTAATGCTGCCATAAACTGTGTTTTGGCAAGACACTTCACTACTCTAGGTCTCACTTTCCCCATCTATAAAACAGGGTTGGGACGAGGTGTTCCCTGGTATTCTGTGATCTGCCTCTTGCTGCCGTTCTTTCTCTCCTCTGCTTTTCTGTATTTTTCTTCTGTTATCCCTGGGGGTGCTCAGGTTCCCGTGATTGTCTGTATTTCTGTGTGATTGTAGCAAGGACTCAGCCTCATGTAGCATGAATAGGGGTGTGGTTTATGACATGTGACCCAGCAGAGAGCTCCCTCCCACTGACTTGTTCTGCATGTGTAGAGTCTCCCCCCACTTTTTTTTTTTTTTCAGACCAACCCTTTACCCCTTTTCCTACCCCACAGCTCTATTCTCTGTACGTTGCCAACAGTTTCACTGAACAGTGGGGTATGTGATGGTTTTGGCATGACATCTTCAGTACGAGGGGGACAGTCTGTGACTTCACTTTGAGGGTGTGATGTCTGTAGCTATGTGGAAGGTAAAAATAGTGGTGTGATCACGAACCAAAGGAATTTATGTTTTGTAACTTGGGTACTTTATTTTGCATTTTGTTAAAGTATTAAATACTTTTTTCCTGTTTGGGATCTTACTGTCTTTGTTTTTACAGGTGTAATTGGGCCTTTCTCTGTGATAATTGTTTCAGTCTCCTCAAAATTCATCTCCCTTCTTCCCATTACACTTAATGGCTTCTTTCTGTTGACTCTTTTTGGGAATAAGGAGCAACAGGCTTCTGTCTCTCCTCATCCTCAGCCTCCCCTTCAACTTGTTTATTCTCCCAGAAACCTCCTTATAACATATTCCGTCTCCCCAGTTTGCTTATGCTTGAAAAGTAGGCCCAAGATAACAGCCTTAGGAACACAATGATTTCTCCTGGCTTTTTGCTTGTTTGTGTAAAGAGCAACTTTGAGAAGGGTATAAGAGAACAAATTGCCTTCCTAGACTCAGCCAAGACTGCTCCCCCTAGAAAATGCCCTCCTCCCCAAAGCCCGCCCCCTCAGAGGAGGCAGGGTTTTTCTTTTGGGCAAACCTGCTCCTTGGGAGAGGAGGTGGCAAAACCTGTTTGAAGATGAGGTTACCTCCCTTCCACACCTCCCTCCTTGGAGGCCAGAACTACCACAGCTGAGACAAAAAAGGTAAAGAAGTGTTGGGGGCTGGGACACCCAGCTCCCCAACAACTCTTAGGTGTTTAAAGAAGACAGGAAGACTTGTGAAGATGGGAACCATACAAGAGGCAGGAAAAAAGACGTTAGATGTTGGGTAAGTAAAATCTTGGCTCACTTGATTAGAAACAGAATAAACAGTCCTGAGAGACTTTCCCACCACCCAGCTCTTACTGGGTCAAATCTCAGGTTCCTCAAGGAGACAAGACTCTTAGAGAATTTGCAGAGAAGGGATGAGGGTGGTTTTAGGTAGGAAATGTCAGTATGGTATGGAAATAGGAAACAGGGGAATCCAGGATAAAATATTTAAAAATAAAGGAAGTTTCTGTATCATGTTGTATCTGATAAATCTGCCTGTGTTCTTTATTTTCTAACCCTCTCCCTCCAGAATGACCATCAGGAAAGCTGAACCAGAACTGAGTTTAGGTCCAGGTTCTCGTTCCCGGCAAATCTTTCTTCTTAGCTTTTTTCCCCACCCCTCCACCTATGCCGCGTTTTCCCTTAGCCACTCCCCAGCACGGTGGAGGAAAGGCAGGCCTGACTAGGTGCCGTCTTGCCTGACTTTGCTCAGTGATAGCTGGGTGGGTCTAGCTGGGTTCCAGCCAATTGTAATGTGGTACATCTCTCACCCCCACTTCATAGGTGGAGCAATTGCTGTAGAGGTAAATATGATTAACTTTATATTCCATTTGTCCTCTGCTCCCAAACCCAACAGCAGGCAATCTAGTAAGTGGTGAAGGTGAAAGAAATACCTTTGTAGGAGGCAAGAGGCCTGAGTTCTTTTGAAGGCCTACTCTCTGCTCTGTATCTCAATTACTGTTCTTCACTCCAATTATTGTTACCTACTGTTCAGTTCCCTCACTCTTTTCTTCTTGGGTGTCTGTCTTAGGGTCAGGGAGAGTGGAGAAGCAGCAGAACTAGGAGCAGCCCTGAGACGTGGGGAATTAGAGCTGAAGGAGGAATGGCAGGATGAAGAATTCCCTAGGTGAGATCGTGTGAGGGCGGCTGGGAGGAGGAAGGGATGGGCAGCTCACGCCTGTAATCCCAGCACTTTGGGAGGCCGAGGCGGGTGGATCACCTGAGGTCAGGAGTTTGAGACAAGCCTGACCAACATGGTGAAATCCCATCTCTCCTAAAAATACAAAATTAGCCAGGCATGGTGGCACATGCCTGTCGTCCCAGCTTCTTTGGAGGCTGAGGCAGGAGAGTTGCTTGAACCCGGGAGGCAGAGGTTGCAGTGAGCTGAGATTGCGCCACTGCACTCCAGCCTGGGCAACAAGAGTGAAACTCTGTCTCAAAAACAACAAAGCCAAACAAACAAAAAAACAAACAAATGGATACAAGGATGGTGAATTAGGACTTGAAGTAAAAAAATTCAAAAAAGGAAAACAGGCCAGGCATGGTGGCTCATGCCTGTAATCCCAGCATTTTGGGAGGCCAAGGCAGGTGGATCACTTGAATTCAGAAGTTCAAGACTCTGGGCAACATGGCAAAAACCCATCTCTACCAAAATACAAAATGTAGCCAGGCATGGTAGCGCACACCTGTAGTCCCAGCTACTTGGGAGGCTGAGGTGAGAGGATCACTTGAGCCCTGGAGGTAGAGGCTGCAGTGAGCCATGATTGTGCCACTGCATTCCAGCCTGGGCAAAGAGTGAGACCCTATCTCAAAAAACAATAAAAAAAAAAGAAAGCAGGCCAGGCGCGGTGGCTCACGCCTGTAATCCCAGCACTTTGGGAGGCTGAGGCGGGTGGATCACGAGGTCAAGAGATCGAGACCATCCTGGTCAACATGGTGAA